CCCCAAAACCCCAAAACCCCATTCTTCTGATATTAATTGAATTTTCAATAATCATATATTTATTTACAATCTAATATAATACCTTGTCAATTTCATATTTCTTATCTTATTATGTCATTTATCATTGAAAATCTGCTAAGTATAAAACTTATCATGGTATTACTTATCTGTGCCCATTGATAAATCATCATCATTACCTGAAATAAAAGGGAGTTACGAATTTAAACTTTATGAATTCTTTTGAATAATTTCTTTGGCTAAAGTATGCCAATTTTAATATTCAAGGTCTTCATTGTTCTTAATAAAATCAGACGCTCTTTTCTATATTTTTATGTTAATCTAGTATCTCAAGCAAAATATTCTTACCCTCATTTAATGAGTAGCACACCTCAGAACTACATTCTCTAATAGCCTTTAGTTTTATCGTTTACTGAAATTGGAGCTTTCAAGTTCAGCCCTACACCCCCTTATAAATGATTTTGCTAAATCGTCCACTTCAGAGCTAAGTTTTTCTTTTCTAACTAAATAATCGTAAGCTAAAGTATTCTCTCTTCTAAATTCTTCTCTCAGCCATTTCTTAGATCTAATACTATTCTTACAAATTTTTAAAGTGTTACTATCAACATCATAATTAATTGATTATCTTGGAATAAAGATGTTTGGTTTATATATCTAATAGCAATTCTAAATATGTATTGCTGGGTAATCTATATCATTTTTAGCAAAGTCATTCACGAACTCTCTATAATCCTATGATTTTAATTCCTTATAAAGTAAATGCTCAACTTCTTTATTTGAAAAGCTGCTAAATATATTTTTCACATACTCATTGAAACCAAGGAAAAATAGTTCATTCCACATTTTATTAAGTTTTATAATAATTATTATTAGCCTTTGATTATTTAGTTACTTATGAAATTAAGATTAAACATCATAATGTAATTTGATCATGAATTCTCTTATTGAAGTTGTATTTCTCCTCAACTATTGCGCATTCTGCTGTTAATAATATGCTAGCCAGTCCTGCTCCAAATCTTAATGCACTCTTAACTACTTTTTTAGGATCTATTACTTGTTTTTCAATAAGGTTATTTATTTTTTTCTCTCTTGCATCATAACCAATTTCCTGATTCCCTAACTACTTGAGCTTTTCTATTATAACCCCACCTTCCCCGCTGTTGAGAGTCAATGTATTTTCATATATCTTTCTCAGGGGTATTTCAGAAATTTTCATCACAATATCTCTTCCTCTAATTTAATCATCATTAGAAAGCTTAATTTCTTTCAAGGCATTTTAAGCAGCATAAAATAAGGCACAACCTCCGCCTATCACTATTCCCTCCTCTAAGGCAGACCTTACTGCAAATACAGAATCCTCAATTCTATCTCTACATTCATTCATTGCTACCTCAGATCTTCCACCAGCTTTGATAATTGCAATCCCTCCTCTAAATTTAGCAATGCGCTCTTAAATTTTTTCTTTATCATAATCTCCAAGCATTATATTGTCTGAAATTTATTCTTCCAGTAGTTTAATCCGATGATCAACCAAATCTTATTATCCATGTCCTCTTATGATAACAGTAGAATCCTTACTTATCTGAACTTTGTCACACTTGCCAACGACATAAACTGGATCAAGTCTTTCAAGCCGGTTATATCCAAGTTCTGGTGAAAGCATGGTAGATCCAGTAAGAATACTCAGATCTTCTAAATAATCTCTCCCATTTATCATTGGGGCTTTTACTGCACATATTTTTAGATTATTTTACAGTTTGTTCACTACCATGGTAGTTAGGGGTTCAGCCTCAAAATCCTAAGCAATAATTATTACAGGTTTGTATGTCTTCTTTGCAAATTCAAGAAATGGAACTATTTAACTTGCAGAAGTTATGATTTGATCTATTGTAACTATATAAACTCCATTCTCATAATCTATTTAGGAGCTTTTGTTTTATTAATCAGTAAAGTATGGACTTAAAAATCCCTAGTCTACACTGTAACCATCAATATACTAGACTACAGTTTTTAAATGTCCTTTACCTTCTTATATTGATATAGTTCCTTCAAACCCAATCTTCTAATGTATTTCTGCGATTAAATCAGCTAGTTCTTTATCTCCATTTGAAGATATAAATGCAATACTCCTAATGTCCTCAATGTTATCTTTAACGCTAATTTTCTTGGAAATCTTGTCAATTTCCTAGCAAATAGCTTCAACTGATTTTTATATACCTTTTCTTAACTCAACTGGATTAACTTTTCCATGCTATAGCTATTTAATTCCTTCTCGTAATATGTTGTATGCAATAATTGTACTGGTTGTAGTCCCATCTCCGCATAGCTCATTTGTTTAATCAGCAGCATCACAAATTAACTTAGCACCAATAGTCTATAATGGGTCTCTAAGTTAATTTAAAGCCTTTGCTACTGTCACTCCATCTTTGGTGATGTATGGCCTAAATGGCGAGTCTAATGATAAGAAAGAGTCTTATTAATTTGGAGCTGATTGCAATATCACATTTCTTCCTCCAGGTCCCAGAGTTTACTACACAGTTCTTGCAACTTAGTAAGCCCCCTTCATAAGTTCTAAACGCTGATTTTGTCCATAATAAATCTATTTTCCAAATCTTCTGATTGATTACAATGGATTGTGATTCTACTGAACTATCTTAGAAACAATATTTTTTGATTTTTATATTTAATTCATGATTATTAAATTAATATTATTTGCAAGTTTATCAATAGGTATGGGGTTTTGGGGTTTTGGGGTTTTGGGGTTTTGGGG